TTTGTTATTATTTCCCATTTCACTGGAACTTTATTGTGTTTCTTATACAATTGAAATATAATTTTATTATACTTATCTTCAACTTTGGCTCGTGTTGAATTTCAGTCTCCTCTCTTTTTCAAATTGTTTTTATTGGGATGTTTATAATCAAACAGAATATCATCTATTAGTTTGTGTATTTTGTTTACTAAGTTTCAATAAACATTTTGAATTAAAATAAAAAATAACCTTATAAAGTTAACACAATATATTTCTTTTTATTTATTAATAGGTACATATATATTTTTCAATTTGTCATGTTTATTTTTTTCAAACTAATTTGAATTTAAGTATAATAAAATTATCTACAAACAATTGTCATAAATACATGCACTTACCTTTCCAGAACAAGTCAATCACTTAATTAAAAATTGTGAATTTATACGATGCTTATTAAAATTATCAATAAGTCCTTTTTAAGATGCTCAACATAATGCAATCTATATTTAGATTTAAAAGATATAGTTATAGATTTTTATGAAATATTGGTTTAGATTAGATTAATATACTCAAGAATTAGTTGAGTAAGCTTAAACTGATTTTTATGTGAATTATTCATTATAGATGAGCTTTGGTTTTTATTTTATTTGATAAGATTACGAGAGGTTAATGAAAGAGTGTGAATGAATGAAAGAGGGTGCGCATGAAAGTAGTCTATTTCCTTCCTTCTTGCTATGAGATTAATTTTTAGGGATGCTCGTTTAATTCTTTAAAATGTTTACGTAAAAGGGGATTTATTCAAAAAAACTTCGGTTGGATTATTTGTTATTATTTCCCATTTCACTGGAACTTTATTGTGTTTCTTATACAATTGAAATATAATTTTATTATACTTATCTTCAACTTTGGCTCGTGTCGAATTTCAGTCTCTTCCTTTTTTTTAAATTGTTTTTATTGGGATGCTTATAATCAAACAGAATATCATCTATTAGTTTGTGTATTTTGTTTACTAAGTTTTAATATGGTATGAAAATTAATAACAGTACCTAAGGGATGTAATAGTAGGGTTCGAACTATTGTCAAAGTAGGAGACGATATACAAACATGTCGCTGATTTTTGGGATTTTGGGAGTCAGATAACCCTGGATGGTAAAACGCAAGAGAGATTAAACAAAGAATAGTTCAGGGTGGAGTCGTTTTTAAGAAAAATATATCACTGTTGTGATAAATATGTGTTTAACGATATGCTTTTTCTGTTTTTCCGATAAAATTTTCTCGACAACATTATTTTAATAGCGTTTTAATTGAGTTTATATTATTATTAAGTAGTAGGTGGAAAATACTTCCCTCGATTCGATAAATAATTAGAAGAACAGTAGCTGAAAGCAAACTGGGACTGCGTCAATACGGGATCAGCTGCAGTTTGCTTCAACGCAGTGGCTGTTTTATAAATAAATAAACTAAAGACTAGCATTTTCTTGTTACGGAGATAAGACAGGAGTTTAGAAATGTGGTATCAGAAAGAGCCCTAATCTAAAGAAATTATGGGGAGGGTTTTGGTGTCGTTTTGTTCATACTTACACAAGCAAAAGTTTTTTGAAATGTTATTATGTTTGTTACAGATGCTTTCTGTTCTTCTTTTTTTGGAACAGTCATATAAGAAGGAAGAAGATGTGAACACAATGGTTAGTACATATTTTTCAATTACTTATATGGGAACATATACATATATATTTCTCATGTTATAATTTTAACTTGTAATGCATTATTGCTTATTGTAAATTAGCCATTTTTATGTTATCTATTTACTTATAATTGTTGTTTGTTGTTTGTTTAGTGGTTTCGATACATCCTGTACTACGAAGAGGCTTAGAGGAATTCTGGGGTTGGTCACGGATCAAATTTTCTGGAAATGATGTTACGTATTCAAGTAAACCATTGCACCGAAACCGTTTTTCACAAATCTACTGCAGAAAAAAGGACCACCATTGAAGCATACGATAATTTTTTTAAAAATGCATATACAAAAGGGATTTATTGAAAAAAAAAAACTTCAGTTGGATTATTTGTTGTTATTTCCCATTTCACTGGAACTTTATTGTGTTTTTTATACAATTGAAATATAATTTTATTATACTTATCTTCAACTTTGGCTCGTGT